AGAGAGAGAGAGAAGAAAGAAGAAAAGAAAAAGACAGGTCGCAGTGGGTCACCGTTGCATGTCCTATGGTAACTTAGACTATGTACGTGCCGAGTGTAAACCGCACGTAGAATCGAGGGGACAAGAGGGACAAACTCGTCGTAAGACACGAGAAGGTGGAGGTGGAGAAGGTGGAGGTGGTTGTGAAGGATGGAGACTCTCTTGTTGTATCTTGTGGCGATCGCCGGGATCGTTCGTAAGAGCCAAGGTAGCCTATTGGGTGTTGGCCTCGATGAAGCTGGAGAAGAGTTCCTCAACGAGTACCTGTCGCTCGACGAAAGCAGATACCTCGCCGAATTGCAGGAGTTTCAGGACGCGGCGATCGAGATTGATCTTATCGGGAGCAAGAGGCATCGGCAGCCTCACCAGGAGCCTAGAGTGCTCTATCAGATTGGGGTAAGTTATCTGTGTCAAATTTTCGTCAGATCTGTTTCATAAGAACAAAATCGATCAAACGATTTTCTCAGAGATAACAATTTCGTTTTAACAATCATCTATTCTTTTTTTTTTTCCTTTCACATTTAATAAACTTCTTTTTCATTTTCGATAAATACATATAATATTGATTATGTTAAATATTTTCTAGGTACTCATTTTAATGATTAAATAAACAATTGTTACAATAACAAAAAGGGATCAAGTTATGGTGTTCTGTTTATACGAATTTTTAGTTCTCTTATTAAACTCAATGTACGCGAACACATATCGTATTTAACGATCAAAACAATTCAGGTTAACCTTCGATAAAAAGATCTTTTTTGTAAAAGTTTGTAATAGACGCGGTTAATATCTCTTGTAAGTACATTGTTCATGCAAAAAGATCGATGAAGTAAGCTATAACTTATCTTGTAAGATATCACAACTACAACGCAAAGCTACAAATTTATTATACGTAGATACGTTATCCGATACGTATCTATCGAGATTCGCAACTCTTATAGATGTACATATACATATATATATATATATATATATATATATATATATATATATGTGTATACATATAAAGTAAGTAATGCGAGAGAATGAGCATACTCGTCGATTCTCAGGAAAAACGATGAAAGATACGGAACGAAGAAAGAGTAATCTATAATAATAACTCTGCGTTAATAATTCTTTTCTTTCCACACAACTGTTATTATCTATTACTCCTAAGAAAATATATTTAATAATTGTGACACATACACACATACACACAATAACGTGCCTGTGTTTCTCCGATCTGATTGATTTCTCGATCACGATTGAGCACCAATTAACGTTGATTAAATATTATCAAAAAGAAGATTTTTGTATCTAATAAATGATTAATAGTCCTCCAATCTAAACTTTTCAAACACTTTAACAAATAAAGCTAAAAATTAAACTCTTAAAGCTCTTTAAATAAAATTAACGAAATAAGAAATAAAAGAAATAGAATCAATCTATGTGTTTAAAAATGAAATAATCTTTCTATTTTCTTTTGTTAGAATATAAAGAAAAGATATAGACTGATTTCCTAAGGAAGGAGAAAAAAAAAAAAAAAAAAAAAAAAAAAAAAAAAAAAAAAAAAAAAAGAAAAAGAAAAACATGAGATACGTTCGCAAAAGGACACGATTTCCTTTCAATGGGGTGAACAACACTCGAATGACAAACGATGTATATCTCTCTCTCTCTCTCTCTCCTCTCTCTCTCTCTCTCTCTCTCTCTCTCTCTCTCTCTCTCTCTCTCTCTCTCTCTCTCTCTTTAAAACGACGAACTTTCTCGAGGCTTCGATAACTCGAGGCACGATGTGACATTCCGGGGATACGAGGCTAAATTACCCGCTTTACGGTCGCGAGAAGGAAGGGGAGCATGGTGGTGTGCGGAGGAGGGAAAGGGGGTAAAAACTTAGCCGCGAGCAAAGAGTGGCGCCCACTCGGCGTTCGAACCTGTTGCCCGTCCTCGTCGTCGTCGTTGTCTTCGTTGTCGTCGTCGTTGTCGTTGTCGTTATCGTTGTTGTGTCATTCCTGGCTCCTTCACTGACTCTACGTACGCACCTGGATATTACGCGTCTCCTCTTCATCCTCCATAATTCTCTCTCTTTCTCTCTCTCTCTCCCCCTCTCTCTCTCTCTCTTTCTTTCATTGCACCTACGCTATTTGTGCGTGTACTCTTTCACGCACACGTTCGTTCGATTAAGAGTGGAATTAATTGGTGTTAAGTGAAAGAGACCTCTGTGCGTATGCGTTTAATGAGAAAAAGAAGGAAAAGATGAAAATAGAGAAAGAGAGAGAGAGAGAGAGAGAGAGAGAGAGAGAAAGAGAGATGTATTCGTTCACGAGTACCTGCTCCATTCATAACGAACTCGTATGAGTATAGAAAGAAAAAAAGAGATAGAAAGAGAGATAGTTTCTTCTTGTTATTTTCAAACAGCTTCCGAAGGAATGTCACCTTTGCTGTCGATCTCGGTGACGTGTTTTTCTTCAACAACGACGACGACGACGACGACGACGACGACAACGAGAAATGAATGCGTTCTGTCTTTCTTTTTCTTACTCGATAGCCTCGAGAAAAGAGAGAGAGAAAGAGAGAGGGGGAGGGGGAGAAAGACAGAAGGACATAGAGAGACAAAGTCTGCTCGTTTTCTCTTCGAAACGATCGCGCGGCCCTTTCGCGGCCGTTCTGTTGTGTTGTTTTGTGTTGCATTGCGTATATAGCGAGAAAAAGAGAAAGAGAGAGGAGAGAGAGAGAGAGAGAGAGAGAGAGAGAGAGAGAGAGAGAGAGAGAGAGAGAGAGAGAGAGAGAGAAATACACGCGCTCTTGAGTAATCGTCGAGTATAAACGATTAACTTACGTGCTATGGCTTGGCTTTAACGAGTAGTGGACGGGACAATGGGTATTGTCGATAGACTCGATGACGATACCATCATTCGCTCGGCTTTTCTTTACTCGAGTTCCTTCATGACACGTTCATTTTGATTCTTTCAGTCATTTTCTTTTTTCTTTTTTTCTTTTTTTTTTTTTTTTGCTTAAGTTTGTTCTCTTTCCCTCTCCCTCTCCCACTCTCTCTTTCTCTCTAATTCTTTTTTAATATGTTTAAGATTAACTCTTATAATTATTTTATTTTTATATTATTTATGTATTTATAAATATATAATATATACTATATAGTTAAATTTATGTATTTATAAATATATAATATGTAATATATAGTTAAAAAATCATATGTATATATAAATATGTATGTATATCGTAAAATCATAATATAGAATTCTCTCCCCCCTCCCCGTCTTATATTCATATAAGTCATATAGAGACATGTGATTTTTTCATTTATTTATTTCACTTATGCATTTTGTTTTATGGCGTTTTGTTTCATTTGGATGATTCAGAAGAGGACAGTAGCCACATCCCAATTTACTGCAATTTCTAGCACCCGAGAAGTTCATTTAGGTGATCTCTCTTTTTCTTTCTCATCGTAAGAGCGATAACCAGGAATTATAGTTACTTAACAGTGCGGTGCGTAGAGCGAATTAAATACGAACGAGTCGTGAAAACGGTCGGTCTGCGTGTATATATTGTTGACTACTCCGTTGTTGCACGCTACTAGACATAACGAGGCTTTCCGTTAGCGGAGTCACGTTCGCACACTACTCCCGTCCCGTTTCATCGCGTCAATTAAACCATTTTCCTTTTTTTCTCTCTTTCCTTTTTTCTTTTTCTTCTCTTTTCTTTTTCTCCTTCTTTTCCCGCGGACAACTTTCGAAGCGATAGAATGTACGCTAGCGGAATTTCAACCTTCGTTTTATTCATTCGAAGAATATCGAAAGAAAAGAAAGAAGTTGTACGTATTTCCTTTACAAACTGGCGCCAAAATATTTTTGCTTGCTCGACGTTAGAATTCTCAGTAATTTTTGTTTCAAATAATAATAATAATGACAATTGTAATAATAATAATAATAATAATAATAATAATAATAACAATAATAATAATAATATATAGAAAAAGAAAACAATAACAGGATCTAAATAAACAATTGTATAGTAAGTGGATAGGCACAAACAATAAATAACGTTTAGAATTGTTAATAAGAATTACTATTGTTATTTACTTATAAATATAAAACACTGCAAATTGCAATATTACTTATCGACTGATTCAATGATTCTTTTACTTCGTTCTTGCAAGAAAGAAAGAAATATAAATAAATAAACACAGAAAAAAAAACGAGAAAAAAAAAAAAAAAAAAAAAAAAAAAAAAAAAAAAAAAAAAAAAAAAAAGAAAAAAGAAACGGACGTCCCGCGTTTGACGGCTATTCTATCCAACTCTCTGGAAGAAGGAGAAGGAGATCTCTTCGCTGTCTCTCTCTCTTTCTTTTGGGTCATACGAGGGAGAGAAAGAGAGAAAGAGAGAAAGAAAGAGAGATAGAGAGAGAGAGAAGGAGGGAGACGTATACGAAGGAGAACTCAAAGAGGATCGTGCCCTGTCTCCGTCGTTCTCGGTCATCCGTGGTGTATGCGTAGCCGAGTGCCAGGTGTCATGTTCATTGCGGTCGTGAGAGAAGCGAGAGACGCGTGAGAACTTCCGGGTGGGTTCGCGAGCTTCTTCCGGTCCTTCTATTATCCCATTTTAGTTTACCGCCACCGTTTCGATGCCTCCTCCGGTATATTCCTCCTCTTCTCCCTCAACTCCACCCCTCCCTCATACACCACACCCTCCACATCCCACCCGACCTCACCTCATTCTACCCTCCTCGCCCTACCCTTCTCCTACTCTTCTCTTTCAAAGGAGACGCCTGTTTTTCGTTTCCTGAGGAAAAAAGAAAAAGAACAAGAAAGAGAAGAACGGGGAGGGTTGACTGAGGAAGGAAGAAGAGTCTCTTCTTTGAGAGGAAAAAGGAAAAGAGGCAACTAGCGTAACGTCGTTCTAACGTTCAACGATGACGATGATTGGATAGAGATGATTTCGTTCGTTCGTTCGATCTTTCCTTGTCGGTTACCTCTAACCCACTTTTCTTCTCCGTTCGATCGACTCGACTTCCGGTCGAATCGTTCAAGTCTCCGTTAGTATAGAATACTATTTTGTCTTCGCAATAAATTTTCGATTTCTTAGATCTTCGACGTTCATAATGTTATTGAAATTAGCAATAAGCTGATTTGCAATTGATTATGAGTTGATCACTTTCGATCGCTATTAAATAGTTCGTCGTTATTTCAATATTTTATTATTTAACTCTAATACACAACGATAGATTTATATAAATATGTTTGCATTTGCATTAGTATCTTCTCTGTTTTTGAATATTTTAATACCTAACACTAATACTTAAAAAACATTAATACAAATATACGTATTTATATTAAGTATTTTACAATTTGAATAAGTAAATCGATATAGGGATTTATTAGAAAGAACTGTAATGTTGGAATCAGACTCGATACAGTACGACAAAGGGTTAAAGATTTTTTGGGAGCAAAAAGAAGAAAAAAAAAAAAAAAAAAAAAAGAAAAGAAAAAGAAAAAAAAAGAAAAGAATTAAAATAAAAAAAAAAGGGGGATTTTTTTGGATCAAAAGAGAATTGACGTTTCGTGGTCAAAACGAGCAATAGGAAGAAGAGGACCAAGAAGTGGGGTGGTAGTTGTGGTGGTGGTGTTGTTGTTGTTGTTGTTGGCAGGATAGAGAAGAGGGAGCGGTCGAGATAAAAAGTCGAAGGAGAGATAGACGGACGTGGTAAAAAGTCGAATGCTCGGTGGTAAAACGGCGGAAGAGCGTTTCCTCGAACAGACTCGAAAGCCGAGTTTATCTTCTCTCTTTCTCTTTCTATCGACAACGACGGTGGCCTAACTGCCGTGGCTCACGCACTTTCGTGCACTCGATGGGGATGTAAAACGATTTGTTAAATCATTTTCGATTATTGCCACTAGCTTAAGTATCTTTTTATTTTATCGAAGGGATTAGGCATTGAAGAAATTTATGTTCATAACTTTTATACGACTACTTAAACAAATGCGAATGATTTTTTTTTAAATATATTGATCACGTGATCGAAGGAGCATATTTTTTTTTTCTTTTTTTTAATGATCTTTCGAAGTTTTTAGATCGATTTAATCAATTTTTAATATTTATATGACGTTTCAAGTAAATGTGACAATTTTAAATATATCCACTGATTCAACCGAAAGATCATCTTTTTTTTCTTTTTCTTTCTTATTATCGATATTTCAAAAGTTTGAGAACAGTTTAGTCAATTGTTAACTTTCATACGAGATTTCAATATAAATGTGGCAATTTTTGAATATTTATTAAATATAGATCAAAGGATCATCTTTATTTCTTGTTTTTAATGATCCTTCGACGTAGGAATGTCAGTTTAAGGTAAAAAAAGAAGAGAACGAAGAAAAAGTCAAGATGAATTGTAGAGAAACGTAGATATACCTGCTTGCTAAGCGAATAAGATGACGAGGACGACGAAGACGAGGACGAGTGGAGACACAAAAGGGTTCACGGCGCGCCGAATTAGTCTCTCGGCGGTAGTGAAATAATGGCTGAATAGGTTTCCTCGAGAAATGGCGGAAGTCGTTCGATGAATGAGCCGGAAGACCTCACTCCGAACCTTACAATGGTGACCACCGTACGATCCCGGTATTACGGATCAAAACATCCTTACCGATTTACGATCCTTCCGCGATCTGTCGTTCTACCTGGCGACACTACTAAAACGACTCGCGAAATCGTCTAATATCCACACTTCCACACAGGAAGTCAATATCTTCACCGAAGAAATATATACTTCTATTCATTTTTCTAACGATTTCCAAATTGTTTTTTTTTTCAATTAATTAATACACTCTCTTAATAACATAATAGGCAAACATAGATAAAATATTTCGATTAACGTTGGGATTATTCTTTAAAAAAAAAAAAAAAAAAAAAAAAAAAGAAAAAGAAAGTATATATTCTTATATTTAGATAACATATCAATATATAGGTGTATATTTTTTTCTAACGATTTTTATAAAAATTATCTCCATTAATTTACTAATTAATCGATACGATTTCCTGACAATTTAACGGAAACAAAAGAGATAGGATTCGATGAAATATGTATCAAAGTCGTTTAAATCATAAGAGGACCAAAAAAGAAAAAAAGAAAAAAAAAAAAAAAAAAAAAAAAATACATAATTTTGAAAGGAAAGAAAAGACAAAGATGTCATAGGAGGCGACGTACCCCCGGCCGAGAAAGCGCAAAGAGCATCTCTCGTAAGCGCTTCATTCGGAGGTTGTCAATCCGGTCAATGAGGCAATCACGTACGTCCTGTCCAGCTACGTATGTTCGTACGACGACGTTCAAGCGTGGCGCAGAGTCCCCGGGGCTCTCTCGTTAATCCGATCTCGTCGGCTTTTACTCGGTCACGATTGGTCATTGACATTGCGTCGCTCCTCGGAAATCAGGGACGTCCTCGTCGTGCCGGATAACAACACGAACTTTACAGTATCATTTTTTTTTTCACCCTTCTTATTCGTCCCTTTTAAAAAGGCACACGGATTTAGCTGATTCAATTTTTAACTGGCTTGAATTAAAATCATTCGCCAAAAAAGAAATCAAAATCTTTTATCGTAACGTCCAATCAGAATGATTAAACGTAATAGTATTTAATTTATCGAGTAATTGATATCAAATGAAGGAAAAGTTGGCAAAAAAAAAAAAAAAAAAAAAAAAAAAAAATGGAAGAAAAGAAAACAAAGAAAAAGAAAACAAAAAAAAAAAGAAAGAAAAAAAAATAGATCTTCAAATAAACCTTCGGTAATTTTTCTTTCGTATATTTAAACAAAATCGATCGTATGTACTCAGATACTAGGAAACTTATCGAAAGCTTGTCTCGAAGGCGACCGGAAGTCCGTTGCCGCGAAAACACGTTCTTAGAGCTGGCGAGCACGTTTTGTTTCTAGCAGCACGAACGATCCAGAAACGGAGCCGGTCGACCCTGAGTGCTTCGTGCGTGACGAAGATCGAAGATCGACGCCGTTCGTCGAACAAATCGAATTCTTTTTTCGATCTTTTATTTTTCCTTTTTTTTTTTTCTTCGTTTTTTTCAATGAAAGATAACGAACTCTTATGGACAAGGGTAGGTGTGTATCTATGTGTATGTATATGTGTGCGCGCGTGCGCATACTCGTTTAAAAGTCGTAAAGCATGTGTGCCTGACGTATGCTGTCTCGCAATAGGCGAATTGTCGGTCGGCACGTGATATCGAACTAATGTAAGAGCGCGCGATACGCACGAAACTCGCGTTGCACGTGACGGAAACAGCGGGTCTCTTTCGACGCGAATTAACATCGAGTTGATATATACATATTTTATATATAAATATATATGTATGTGCACGCGTATACATATATGTGTGTGTGTATGTATTGACTATATATATACATGTAGGTATCGTACTTATCTCGAGATACTTTCGAATAAACACGCGTAGGCAGGATGTCTGATCAGTCGCGCTCTCGATCGTGCCAAGCTTTACGTAATCTTGCGATTACTTTTGCTATTCAGTTTACAATTTTGGACTTTATATATATATATATATATATATATATATATATATATGTATACACATATAATGAAATTATTCATTTATGAAATTGGATTATATTCATAATATTTATTTAGTTAATTAATTATTTTTGTTCTATTTTTGTTTTCTTTTTCTTTTCTAGGACAGCGAAGAAGAATTGCCAGAGTGCTCAGATCGAAGCGAAGTCTGTAGTAAAGTAGATCTTTATGGTGCACCATGGGTCGAGAGACAATGTCGTTGTCCTGGTGGACGTGCTTGTCCTAGTAGCCTCCACGCGGATGATGGACATACGATCGTCGATAAAACTCGACAATATAAACTCTGTGAACCCGTAAAGCGTCTTCCTATTTGTCGTTATTTCAAGTGAGTCTGATTCGATTTTTTTTTTTTTTTTTTTTTCTTAATTTTTATTCGTAAGAAATAACACGTTTTTTTTAGATGATGATTCTAATTGCCCGTTCAATTTGATCGTGATCTGATATTTATACAAATTATATATGTACATATATGTATGTCGGAATTGGTTCAATGATTTTGATCAAATTTTTATTGTATTAAATAACGTTTGACAACTATTGTTTCAGAGACATCACGTGGACGTTGGCACCCGGTGGAGGACCAGCGAACGCAACAGTACAACGTGTACACTGTCGTTGTCGACCAGGCAGTGTACCATATCTCGTCCGAAGACAACCCCATATCTCTCCAGAGGGTAATTCCGGATTTATATATGCTTTCGCCTGTTCGCCGCAAAGCGTAAGTTATTTAAATTAATGTTTCATCAATCGTTTTTCTATCAATTAAATAAATAAATTAATTAACCCTCTATACCTCGAAAAATTATTATTGTTTCTAAACATAATATAATAAATTTCATATTTTATAAAACTTTATAATTATACGAAAAAAATATTAACTTTAATATTAACAAATGATTTAGATAATATTAATAAATGATATGACTGCATTATTTGTTATATGACTGACGGAAAAGGATTAATTAATTAATCAATTAAAAGTAACCGTGGAAATAGTATTGCAATAATAATCAAGAGTAAATCAGTTGGACATTTTGTCTCGTTATAGAGGCTACGTTGCCAGCACAAGGAACCTTGCAGGCTGTTTACCGTTCGCAAAAGAAGGAGCTCACAGTTGGAAGAAGTAAACGCCTCGCCTCTCTGCCAGTGTCCCAGGGGACACCGTTGTCCCCGACGTCACACGGATCCTGGATCATTGCCGGCGAGATCTTATTCCGGCATATTGGAGATCAAAACTTACAGTGGCTACTGCGTACCTTCGCATCATCCTGAACCAGTCTACACAGTTTGAAAAGGAGAGAGAGAGAAAACAAGAAAGAAAAAAGGACAACGATCTCTTTTTCTTCTTTTTTTTTTTTTTGATTCCTTTTTTTTCTTTAACGAAAACAAGATTTTTCGAAAATTTTCTTTCAATTATTATAATAATTCCAATGAAAAGTATTTTTCATCGATTGTGACATATAACGCATGAAGAATAAGAAGAGAGAAAGTGAGAAGGAGAAAGTGAGAGAGAGAGAGAGAGAGAAAGAGTGAGAATGAGAGAGATTAAACATTAATAATTAAATAATATCTTCGAATTGTGACATGAAAATAGTACGAGAGATTCCTATCGAAGATTTGTCTAATTCTTCTTTCTTTCTTTTCTTTTTATCTTCAAAAAGAAAAAAAAGAAAAAAAAAAAAAAAAAAAAAAAAAAAAAAACACGAAAATCAAGAGGAAGAAAGAAAAGAACATTAAAAATTCGTTCGCGGTGCGACGATTTTAAATGAAGGCAGACATTCCTTTTCATTCAAATCGCCCTTCAATTTACGTTTACACGAGGAGGGCTTGTAAAGAGCTTTAAATTGTCATGAAAAAAAATCTTTTTTTTTTTATTGTGTATGTATTATCCGAGAAATGCGTTACGATACGATGTTATTTCGTTACTATGTTTATAATATTATTATCTATTAGTTACAGTTTGTATAGACAGAGTTATAGTTCATTCGTTTCGATAATTATTTAGCATTCTGTTATATACATATATATATATATATATATATATATATATATATATATATATATATATAGTAAATAGTATATATAGCTACATGTATATGTATAAATTTTGAGCGAGTATCTTCAGTTAAGAAAGCGATGCTATTAGATCGCATTCGATACGATTTGGAAAAGAATTCAATATCGATGATCGAAGGAGAAAAGCTCGGTTACCTGGAAATACTCTCGATCTTATAATTTTCATAACGCGATTTAGTTCGTTCATTTATAATAATTACTTCGTAAACATTCCATAATTTATGTTAGGTTACTCGTATTATTATTCTTATTATTTTATAATTATTTTTAATTCTTATTGAATGAAATTTTTAAATTATTATTATTATTATTATTATTATTATTATTATTATTATTATTATTATTATTATTATTATTATTATTATTAATTATGCGAAAAGTGGCAAGTTCCAGGAAAACAGGTTCTAATAATTAATACTAATTATCAGCATTAGTATTATTATTATCACCATCATCATCACTTTTATAAGTTAATTATTATTAAAAGATCATTCATTTCGATTTTATTTTTAATACTTCGTTTTGTTAGTAATATATTTTGCTTTTTCATGTTCGAAATTCGAAAGAATTCCCATTGTCACGAGCTCACATTATTATTATTATTATTTTATTATTATTATTATTATTATTATTATTATTATTATTATTATTATTATTATTATTATTATTATTATTATTATTATTATTATTACTTGTAGATATATTAATGCGGATGAAGGTACATTTTGTGTAAGAGATCGTTCGATGATGAAAAGCCGGCTTAACATCGACGTTACTCGTGTTTGTATAATTTACGTTAATTTAATAAAGTATATCGCCTTATCTGTTGAAAAAAAAAGAAACAAAACAGAAAAAGCAGTGTGACAGGGTACGTTGCAAATTTTTATATAAAAACAAAAAAAAAAAAGAAGATTTTTTTAAATACAGTATTTAAAGAATATATACAATAATTGTCGGTAAGGAAGAACACATTTCACGATCGGTATTTAAAACTGTTTGGTTGAAGATCACCACAAGATGTCAGGCCATCGCAATTTTCCAATCGATTTCATTAAAGGATTAATTTTCTAACAGATGGCACGCATAGTTCAATTTAAAAAAAGTCCTTTAATTAATTATAATTAGCTCATAAATAAAAAAAGAAAAAAAAAAGAAAAAAAAAAGAAATATTTGATCAAAATTAAAATCTGAAACTCGTTAATGATTTTATAGTCGATTGAATTTTTGTTTTACAAGAAAAATTTTATTTCTGTTACTTAAGTTTAATTACTCTCATTAAATATTATACTTTGAATAAAACAATTTTAATTACCATGAGTGATTAAATGAACATTATTTATGATAATAATAATAATAATAATAGTAATAATAATAATAATAATAATGATAATAATAAAGTTAAACTAGGATAATCAAGCTTTTCCATTAAATATTTTAATGGAAGAAGCACTAACGTCGCGAAGAATGAAGATGTTTTGAAACTCATCGTCGTTCGCTATTTATCGTCGTGTATCAACACTTTTTCTTGACCGCAAAGTGCCGACGATCTCTCGTGCGGGCCCTCGTTAATCCGCCGGATACAAGCCTCGATATTATCCTTTAAAGAGCTGTACATTAATGGCCGCCATGTTGAAGGCGTTCGTCGTTTTGTGAACTCCACGGGAAAATAATGAGGTAACGACGGCCTTTACGATACGTGTACGTGGTGCACGTATCACGCCTTCGATCGGACATTTCTTTTTTTTTTTTTTTTAATAAATTTTCAACTAAGTAGTTACAAAAATGTTACTACTATATTATACATATACATGCGTTTCGTACGTAATGAAACGTTTACGTATTGGATAAGATGAAAGTCATAGATAATTAAAATATCTGTGATCTTTCATGTCTTAATTTTTATATTTATTTCTTTTTCTTTTTGATTTGTTTGTTAATAAATAGAAGAACAAGATTATATATTCATAATTAATACAACAAATTTATGAAATATCCGCGGAATATATAGTTTATCAGAAGAAACTCGATATTTTAAAAAATTTGTGTTAGGTTCGTATTGATTTTTTTTAAACAAACATTAATTAACATTAAATATCGTTAATATTACTTTTACGATACAAATACGTTCGATAAAAATATTAAAAATATTTAAATTCAAATTGAGTTTAAAGGTAAGGTTTGATGTTTTTACGATCACTTTAAGTATTTTATTTTATCGGAACACATACTAATATTTTTTAGTCTTTTTCTTTGTTTTCAAATAGAAACAAATAGGTTCAATAAAAATAACTAAAATACACACGATAAGATACATAATGATTATCTTGAACTATTTCATTTTATTCCTTATTTTATATTGTCATTTTTATTATTATATTTTTCTATTAAAGTTAAAAATTGTTAAGTGAAAATTTTTAAATATATAACTAGTAAAAAGATTTAAAACTTGTTAGCCAGCGACTTGAAACTCAAACGACGGTGTAGTATTATTATCTCTGTTCGATCGTTCGCCAAGTTAATTAATTCTACGTCGCGTTCGTTATCGATGCATCTTTTTATAAGCTTTCGTTTAATCAAAGATAATTTTTTTCTTTGCGAGAAAAAAAGAGAGAGAGACAAGGGTGTACAAGTAATTATCACCCTTTACAATGTTAACTAGTGTTATTTTCATTAAAGTGAATAATTAGAAACGACGTAACGAGTTTTTTTCTCTTCAATAATGATCGGTTAAATACGATCAAATAGTTTATATATATATATATATATATATATATATATATATATATATATATATATATATGAGTGAAGACAGTTTCTTCGAATCAATCCAGATTCATTCACGCTGAATCATTTACTTGCATATCTCGCGTTGAGTTCTATTCATCGCCTTTCTCCGCTTCCCCGTTTCTTGTTTCATCATCTCAACAGTTTTACGCTTCGCCGAGATTCCACAGCGAGCGAGAAGAAGGAGGCAAGAAAATCGTTAGAAAGGAGGATCGGAATTTATTTCTCTTTCTCTCTTTCGTTTTTGTCCAAAAAATCAAACCGTTTCGTCTTCTTTCCTGTATTTACTAGCATTGTTTCAAGTTATTCGTAAGTTATAGAATCATCGAGATTTATGATCACAGATATTAATAATAATAATAATATTAATAATAATAATAATAATAATAATAATAATAATAATAATAATAATAATAATAATAATAATAATAATAATAATAAATAGAAAACAACAGAAACAAAAAATGAAACCGAAAAGAAGAAGAAAAATATCTTGATTTCTTTACGTCAATTTTCTTGTTCTTTTATTTCTTTTTATTATTATTTTACCAAGAATTGAGATAGGAACGTAGACTTGGAGAACTAACGATCTGACACGTTTCGCGAGCAACTTCGAAAGGGTGGAGTCATCAGTACCGGATAATCATTATGCTCTACGCATCCATCGAAGGTTAACGTCTGGTTGGCAGTAGACAACCAGTAAAAGCAGTAGTATCAGTAGCAGAAGTAAGCTAGGTAAGTTAACCAGGAAAGGTTGTGATTAGATATTTTTATAGAGTAATATCTTATTGATATCGCTTATGGATTATTCTATTTCATAATAATAGTCACGTAATTGCAGTATACTTGATTTTAACGCGTAAGTTGTCTTACAAGTTTTCAGAATTGTTATCACTAAGGTAGAATCGCCTATTTACCACCGACGACGATGACGATTATTTCCATTTATTTTGAATTTATTTTTTTTTTTTTTTATTAAATCGGTTCAATTTAACGGATATTTGAAAAACATTAACAATTTTTACATCGCCTTTTTATTTTCTTTTCTATTTTATTCTTTCGATTTGATTCATGAGGAATTGTCATCATCAGGGATGACCTTGAAGTTTGTCGTTCGAGGACAAAGCTAATAGATCGATTCGCAAGATCTCAACGGGAAATCGTGTCGAAACTTTCGTTTTGTCTCGGTCTTGATTTGAAAAGAAGACTCTTATGCACTTTTGCCCGAGCACCAATGCTAGCTTACAATTATTTCGCTTACGCGATTATGCGCGTCAAGCTTTCACCGCTCGAGGGAAATGATCTTCCTCTTATTATTATTCATCTTCTTCTTCTTCTTCTTCTTCTTCCTCTTAATCTTCTAGTTTCATACCATATGTTGTTATCTTATCTTTCGTTTGCTATTACTTATTAATATTTTCCGTTGTAAAACAAAAGAAACGAAAGGTACTCACGAAAAAGAGGGCGAAAGTTTAGCGTGAGATCGTTTTTATCTTAAGTATACGCATACCATCCTACTTTCGTCGTTCGTTGAATGTCATTGATTTCATTAGAAATAATTTAATTTCTTTTTTCTATTTTTTTATTTTTTTTTATTTTTTCCTAAGTAAGATAATTTTCCGTTTTCTTACGTTCAATTAAAAGGAAGTATCGCAAAGGTAGTGGAAGCGTGACCAAAGTGATTTCAGTAAAATCAAGATAAGAGATTGAAATTTATTCGCGTAATTAGTAGTCAACGTCCGTGTTAATTCGATATCTTGAAAAAGAAAAAAAAGAGAGAGAAAAAAGAAAAGATAAAAAAGTAACAAAATAGATCTCGGTAAGCTTGGATAAATCTTAATGGAGGAATAGTTCGTATGTAGAACAGTAGGTTGAACAGGGAGGAAATAGTAAAGCCCGTTTATAATATCGTACTGTCGAGTGAAAACGACCGCTGGTATATCTTGCGTGAGATTGCATGAAGAGGAAATAGATAATCATAAACGTATTGAGAAGAAGCACGATTAATCTCAAGGCGGTGGACGTAGGATGCGTTAAAATGAAATCAAAAGGAGATAACGAGTCATCCTCAATCTCGTTTCGAGTGCAGGTATTTAAAAGAAAGAAAATGGTAAGAAAAGAGAGATTTTACAACTCTACAAATTATTGAAAGACTTTTCAATGTAATCTGTTCGATCATAAATCATAATTTTTTAAATAAAATAATACAATATTTTCATACATCAAATAGGAGAGATAATATATATATTTTTTTTTTTTGCAGAATAATATTTTCAGACAGTAAACTGTTGACAAGAGATATTTTTTTTAGAAAATAAAACTCTCCTTTTGGATCAAATAATATTTTTTGTAAAAGTAAAAGTTACTTTCCAGACGGAATAATATTTTTTGATAATAAGCATTAAATAATAGTTCTTAAAAATTATGTAATATTTTGCGAAAAGAATAATATTTTTAAATAGTAAATAGCAAATAATATATTTCCAAAAATGATAATGATATTTTTCGAAAAGCAGAAATAATATTCTTTAAACAAAATGATATCTTAGAGCATTAAACGATAAATAAGATATTTTTAATAAGTTAATTATTTTTTCTCCTTCTTCCTTTTTGAACAAATTTCAAGCGATCGATCGTACAAATTATTATATTTGTTTTTTTTTCTCCTCTTTCATTTAGTTCCTATGGTAGATCCATTTTAAAAGAACGACACTTTCCGTATAATCTCTTATCATTCGTCTCACTCTTTCTCAGGCGACAAACCACAAACAATTTCACGTGTTCACCTACGCGTGAAGCGGCAAACCGCAAATCGTCGAAGATGAGAAGACGATCAAAGATCTCCCCCCTTTCCCATAACAAGGAACCAGAAATTATTGAGATTTATTGGAAATCGTCTTCCTCAACGTATCGTTAAAGAATAGCCAGCAGGCAAACGCGTGCCACTGTTATGGCACGTTGAACGAGCTTCCGTAAAACACTTTCACGATTGTTTCACCTTTGTACCATAATCATTTCAAAGTAACGCGCTTGTAATTATTTTTCTTTATATTAGTATCTCTTTTATTGATAGATATGTTGTAAACGAACATCTGGCATGTAGGCAATGATAAGAATAAATATTTCTTTCAACACGTTTATAACGAAGTCGAAGAAGACTCTTTAAACTTTGAATCTTTTAATCCGTCTTATCGGTTTAATTCATCGAATGCATCATTATTTGCAACATCATTGGCCTACTTGTCGAAGAAGAAGTGGTTTGGACCACCCGAGCGGTACTTTCTCGATTGTTTCGACACCCTCTGTATGATCGTTATGGGACACCTGAATTTACCATATATGTACTAATAGTCCATCGTTTTCTGTTTTAAAGGGAAAAGAAAACTTGATAGAAAGAGAAGATAAATAGAAAGGGAGAGGGAGAGAGAAAGAGAGAGAAACAAAATACAACATATAGAAAATCTGTCATCATAAAAGAGAAAAATAAATGATGGAAAAATCAATCATTATGAAAGAGGAAGAAAGAATAAGTGATAGAGAGAGAGAGAGAGAGAGAGAGAGAGAGAGAGAGAGAGAGAGAGAGAGAGAGAGAGAGAGAGACAAAATACAAAATATAGAAAATCGATCATCATAAAAGAGAAAAAAAATGATAGAAAAATCAATCATCGTAAAAGAGAAAGAAAGAATAAGTGAGAGAGAGAGAGAGAGAGACAAAATACAAAATATAGAAAATCGGTCATCATAAAAGAAAAAAAAATATGATAGAAAAATCAATCATCGTGAAAGAGAAAGAAAGAATAAGAGAGAGAAAGAGGGAGAGCGAGAAGAAAAATCGGTCATTGCGAAAGAGAAAGAAAGATAGAAAAATCGATCATGGTGAAAGAGAAAGAGAGATAAATAAAAATGGAGATAGTTGAATAGTAGGAGGAAAGAAAAATTTCGTCGCGTTTTCCTCGGTACCATCGTCATGAGTTCGCGTGTACGAGAGGAACTAAGCGAAGGGAGAGGATTGGCGGAGATGCGGCTTAGGATTCCGAGCGCGGTCGAGTGCTTTCTGGTTGGTTGGTAAGTGGGACTAGCGGGGACTCATAGGCAGGAGGCCCCCTACGAGAGCCCGCAGTCGGACTCGAACCCCGAACCAATATCAGCCGTGAGTAGTACCCTACTACACGAGTGTCTCTTTGCTTTCTTTTATTATCCATATTATTATTATAATTTCACGGCTATTATAATATTCGATCGATATTGTCGATTTCTTTTTGTCTTTCATTTTCTTTTTTATTTCTATCGAGTGTGCAAGAACAAACGTTTGTAAGTTCATTTGAAAAAGATCCGAAGGAAGAGGAAAAGGATTCGTCGAGGAGGTATGATTTCAATGTTTGTATTTCTTAAGAGAAAACGAGATAGATATAGAAGTAGAGATAGAAGTAGATAGGTAGATAGATAGATAGATAGATAGATAGATAGATAGATAGATAGATAGATAGATAGAGAGAGGGGATAATGAACGAGATGATTTCCGGTTGGCTCGTTCTCGCATTTCTGGGATCGAGATTGAAGTTGACTGACTGACTGACCTTGAGTTCGAATGCATTTTTGTTCCCAAGTAAGGGGTTGAAGGATAGGTATCAAGAGATATCTAGATTGATGAACTGTTTCCCAGAAATTCTGCGGACTTTTATTTATTTTTTTTCAGTCTTTGGCCGAACGCGTTCATAAAAAATATTTATATGAATTACGAATAATTTAAAACAAATAAACAAACAAACAAACAAACAAACAAACAAACAAACAAACAAACAAACAAACAAACAAAAAAGAAACAAGAAAAAACCATGTGTATTTAATGTAGTAAGAAAAATAGGGTAAAACTTTCTCAAAATGTTATCTCAATTTATTCAATGAAAGAGATGAAAAATTGTTCAAAGAATGTTTTTAAATTCGCATGACGGATAGCTTTCTCTCATCAGAAGTCAGGATCTCGAGACAAGAGAAGAAAATAAAGGGGAGAAGATCGACGGCGAAACTAATCTCGACCTCGACCTAGGCATTAGCGTTTCGATGACGGCCAACTTGAAGTATATCATTTTAGTTATTTCTCTCTCTCTCTCTCTCTCTCTCTCTCTCTCTCTCTCTCTCTCTCTCTCTCTCTCTCTCTCTCTCTCTCTCTCTCTCTCTCTCTCTCTCTCTCTCTCTATTTCTTCTTCTTCTTTGTGCATAAACACAAAGAAAGTCCAATCGCATATGTGATATATATGTTATCTGTTTTGGAATAGATCCGTTATGTTTCTCTGTCTCTCTTTTGATCTGTTATCTTTATATTAAAATCAACGCTTCATCGTAGAAAAATACACATTCCCACGATTCTTCGAGCCTTATTGTTGTTTTTCTTCTCTCATAGTTTCACTATTTCTCTTTTTCTCTACATTTAAAAGACTTCATTTTGATCTTCCTGCCTACTTACGCAAACGATCATCCTCTCGCTCACTGGGGTATCCATATTCAAGCCATTTTGCGTAGATTATGGGGCTTTATCGTTGGATCATTTCTCACACAGATATCCCTTTGTTTGATGCTCTTCTCGGAGAACCCTTGACTAGGATACTCTAGAAGATATTAAATCGACGGCATTCGACGAAGAACCGAATAATTCTTTTTTTCTTTCTCCCTTTTTCTTTCTTTTTTTTTCTTTTTTCCTCCTGTTTCTTTTCTTTTTTTTCTTTTTTTTTTATTTTCCTTCTTACAACGTGAGAGCACACATTTTGTTCACACACATTTGCATAATCGTATCAGAAAGGTCTGTCGAAGGTTGTACAAAGTTCAGATCTTCCTTTTTTAATTAATCAATTCACATCCTTCGTCGGGATAGTTTGATCGTAAATATGAAAAAAAAAAAGAAAAAAAAAAAAAAAAAGAAAGAAAAGAAAACTAAACAAAGAAGAACAAGAAAGTATATTATCCATTGTAGATATCTTTTGATAGAATCTCAAAGACACTTCGAATGCAACGAGATCTCTCGACACAGACGAACGATCTTACGGTGAAAGATAAGACGAAGGGAGCACCAGATCGCAAGATAGAATATAATAATGTAACGGATCGGAAGCTGTGCTTCGTCGCTTCTACCATCGTTCCTTTTCCTCCTTCGCCTTCTTCTCTTCTCTTTCTTGTACGTGCTCATGCGTGCAGATCCGTGCGACCTTGCAAATGCAAAGAAGAAGAGATAACGGCCCGTAAGGAATGTACCGGGTGACCCAATTCCAACCAAGTCCGTACCGGTGAACGCGCGATAATTATCACGGCGCCTACGTTCAAGAGCATCGAGCGAAACAGTAACGACAATGACGTTGGCAACGACAAAGACGACGATGAAAATGAATATGAAGTCGACAACGGTCGTTGACGAAGCGAATCGGAAGTTATCAGAGAATAAGTTCGATATTCTAAAAGGATCGATATATATTTTTGTTCGTAATGTGAAGTGAACGCTGACGAATTACTTTGAAGTAACGTTATAAAATAGGTCTCGATTCAATGAATATACATACAAATCGCTATTTATACTTTCGGGGGTGGGAGGTGGAATGGGATGATGTAGGAAGAGAGAAAGAGAAGGGAAGGGGGAAATAGTTAACGATTTACAACGACCTACATTATCGACGCGTTATTTATTGCTTCCTCGAAAAGTCGATCCAGAAAGTGCGATTAGAAAAAAAAAGAAAAAAAAAAAAAAAGAAAAAAAAATTGCAATCTGATTGAGTGATCTCGTTGTACGCGCGTACTCGTTTCGATCTCCTGCGATTACATTCTCTGAAAAAAATGAAAAAAAGAAAAAAAAAAAAAGAAAAGAAAAGAAACAACAAAAAGAACAAAAAAGAAATTTGCGAATGAATCAAGGAACAAAAAAGAATTCATTAAACGCGAACATTTATATTATCGGTAATATTATCGCGATAATCAGAGTGTAATCGTCGCTGTCATCACCGTCGTCGGTAAAAATGATCGGATAAGAAAATGCGGCTTTCAAAAGACAAGTTTAAAACACAATTTACGAACTTGGCGCTTTTCATCGAGAACGTGTTATCGAGTCTAAGGCCGAGCCTTGATGATCTTTTTAACGTTCTACGTAAAATCGTTCCGTTATTAGAACGGAGAGGTAGATAGGAGCAAGCCGGTAGTAGAGATTGGTGTTTTACTTTGCGAGGGACAACGAATCGGAAAGATGGAAAATCATTATTCGAAAGTTTCTCCGAGGAAAAGAGAAAGAGAGAAAGAGAAAGAGAAAGAGAGAGAGGGAGGAGAGAAAGGAAGAAAGAGAGATAGAAAGAGAGAGAGAGAGAGAGAGAGAGAGAGAGAAACGCGTACGCTTGTTGCTTCCACGCAGCATCCATATCGTGGTCCAGCCTGGTAGAGTCGGAAAAAAATAATGTTACCGTTAAGGAAGGCCTAGCTCTCAACGTAAACTCTTCTCGTTTCGTCTCGATGCTCTCGCGAGATCCGCTCGGACGTGAGCTTAGGGTTCATGCTTGCTCTCGATGGATGAGAGAAAGATAGTGAAAGAAAGAGAAAGAGAGAGAGAGAGAAAGAGAGAGAGAGAGAGAAAGAGAGAAAGAAAGAGAAAGATAATCCAGAGACGCGTGGGAATCAGGGATGTTCCTTTGAACGATCTATACGTATCGACAGATCCACGTGTGTCTCTTTTACGATCTCGCGAAAGATCTACGTCGATCTTTCTTCCAATCTCGTACTCGTTCGTTGTTTATTGATATACTTCGGAATATCGTTAAACGAATGTAATTAGAATAGAGATCCTATAAGAAAGCAAATCCTAAAGTTCTAACGTGGAACTTATTCTAAATTCTCATTTTAAAGATTCGATTAGAGAAAGAGAAAGAGAAAGAGAAAGAGAAAGAGAAATAGCCTTGATATTTGGAAAATGAGAGGATAATTCGCACAAAAGTAATCATATTCCATTATTACAATTAAAGGATTCTCTCATTGTCGTGAAGATAATCTTCACTCTAGCGAGAACGGTTTCGCCTTCGTAAGAGCAAACGTGCTGTATAATGAGAACGAGATTCGCTTGATACGGTAGAAATACCTACGACATTAATCTTCACTTTAATGAGAAACAATTCTACGAAATGTTAACCCAGTTAAGTTCAAAGTCAAGTATTTTATTAAGAATGACGTAGGCATATTATTCGATAAATCCTGTTCTTTATTATTTTCGCCTAATGTATATTCGGGTGTTTGCTTGCATATAATATACATATATAGTTAACATCTACGTTTACAATTGACAGTAACACCATAATGATATTATGTTCTCAGGTATATTCGTATCATTATTACTGCTGACATCAAGCAGAGTAGACGGAACTAAAAGTAACAGTCACGGGAAAGGAAACAAAAGAGTGGATGGTAAATAAAAGAAGATAAAAGAGAAAAAGTTGTTGGGGAAATAATAAATATAGTGTAAACTCGTAAAAAGAGAATTTACGTGAAAGAGAAAGGAAAATGAAGACGATACGAACGATAATATGGTTAGTATTACCAATCACAAGCTGTCTAGCTTTGCCACCGTCACAACAAGAATACGCTCGTGGTTCGGTTAGAGCAAAACAAACGACACCAACGTTGCCCAATAGAATTACATCTGTTGTCACTTCGACGATCGTACCATCGATAACAAGTTCAAGTTCGTCTATAGCGTCAAATTCAATGTCTTCGGTTACGACGCCTATTCCAACATCTACTTCGTCGGCAACAACCATAACAGCGTCATCTTCGTCAATCAATCCGATCGTATCAATTGCTTCCACCGAACAGATTATGTCAAGAACGGCAGCTACTTCCGGTAGCGGAAGTACTGTGTTCTTGTCTTCAACAAGAAAGGTCAGCACGAAACTGGATGAACCAACTAGCACGTTGCCCTCTACTTCGGGTAAGGAGACTCGTGAATCACCTGGGAAGATTCGACCGCAAATAAAGCTAACAACAAATTATACTAGCGCGAGCGAG